CGACAGCTAAGCTGCTAAATAACTCGTATTAAAATTAATAATAATAATCGGCTACTAGACCCTTTACTCAAACTGAATGAGCGACTGACGGCGGCTGAGCAATGCGTGGATGAACATGCAAACAAAAGAATATACGAGAGTATCGAGAGTGGGTACTTAATTGAAGACAGTTTCAGTACAAGTAGGCTACGAGCCATGGCACACCCACATGTATAAAAACACCCACACACGCGTTTGCTCATTACAAGAGTATTATATGGAGCTATGATGATGCGCTTAACAGCTTGCACGTTAACCTATTTCTTGCTAGTGCCACCACCAATTAGACACAATCACTTAAGCTGCTCGCTTCTTACTCAAGTCAAACACTCATCGACGAGAATCAAACCTCATTAATTCAACATATAAACGAGCATAAAAGCGAAGTGAAATGCTCTCAACACACAGAAGGCTAAATGAAGGCGATATCAATGGCAACGCTGCAATAAATATACCAATACTTATTTTGTGGCTGCGTGTGTGTGCGGAATGGGGGCGATGCATGCTAGATTCTAAAAGAACGTGCGAACAATGTGTTGTCGTTTTAGCTTAAGTATATTGAGTTGATAAAGCATTAAATAAAAGGAACTACTTGCTTAGAACTACTATACTATCCAGCTACATTTAATCTTACATAAAAGCCCAAGTAAAACAAATTATCGGTATTTGTGGCAAACCGAGACTCATACATACACGCATTTGTTTATTTGTTACAGTAGCGGTGAAAATATTGGCACTACTGTGGGTTATTTATTTGGTAGATTCAAATAAGAAAAAACATTAACTTCGCTTGCAGCGCAGCGATAATCTCCTTAACCAAAAAAAAAAAGGTTCCATACAAAAAGGTGATTTTGATCTGTCAATAACTGAGAGACTACTTCGCGTATACATAGACAGATGGACAACGTCCAATGTGTTTTACGTGAGTACCAGTCGTCGACGGCCTTACCTCACGGTGCTCCAAAGCACAACGTATCAAAACAATGCGTTGATAAGCGCCCCAAATAATACGAGCTTTTTGCAGGTATTAATTTGGTTACCAATAGCCAGTATGTAGGGGCACACCGACCATCTTGGTAGGATTCGAGACCGACCTAAAACCTCTTCCATTTTCGGGTACGGAACCCAGTTGCTTGTGCAACTTCTTTTTTCGAACTGAAATTCAGTTCTTCCAGCATTTAGGTTTAAACCACAGTCACCACGATACTCCCCAAATAGCCGAACCCAATAAGCAGATTGAACCGAAGTCCAAGGGCATTCTGCTCCCCGTGGTAGCAGAGTTGAGTCTCTGGTAAGACTTGTGTAGCCGAAGCTACTGCCAGTTGAGCTACCCATTACTCAATGACTGGTGACATTTGTCGCTTGAACTTCAAATGTCTTTTTATTTAGAATCTCATTTATAGTCTATAATATCAGTTCAAGCTGAGTATTATAGCACTATTTTGACATCATTTACTATGCTTATATTCTGGGCAAAATAAATTAACAGTCATAGTGCATTTGGCTTTTAGTCGCCTTTTACGACAGGCATGCCTTACCGCGGGTAAATTCTTACCCCTACCCGCAGGGGGAAGACAGATGGACAGACGGACATGACTAAAGCTAAGCAAAGCAATAGTACAATGCCCGAAGAAATTTTACAAATCGAACCACTATAGCATATAGCTGCCATAGAAACTGAATAATCAAAATCAAATTCTTGTAAGGAAAACTTTTTTATGTGATGATCAAACTTGGTATGAATTATTGTTTAAGGCAAGGCTACAATCGCCGAACATATTGCTCAAACCGGATCACTATAACATATAGCTGCTATACAAACTGACCGCTGAAAATCAAGAAAAAATATCGTTGTATACCCTTTTAGGACCCTTAAAGGTGAGGGAATTATAGCTTCGGTGCAGCCGAAGTAAACGTTTGTTTATAAAAGTATTTCTTAAATTTTATTAACCACATTAGTTCGTTATAAAAAATATATACTTTAAAATAAACAAATGTGTCACTGCACATCGATAAGCCTTAATCATAAAAATATGTATTCTGTATGCATAGGTTTGTTTAAAAATATGCCAACATTTATCTTGACTAGTAAATATTTGATTACTGTTAAGCAACTGTCATACGTTTTGATGTATAACTATAAAAAATACTCAGAAAAAAAATTTAAGAACTCCAAATATTTGACTTAATTTATCACTTATTTTACTTTCTCAGTTAGGAGACCTACCCCTTTTTCCGTTCGTCCGTATATAATACATTAGCTGCTGGTTTTCGTAGAATTCCAGCGATAGATATACTTAAATATGAGTATACGCAGATATTAGCGTTTTTTTACCATTACAAAGGTAGACACGAACAAATAAAAAAAGTATTTATGCATTTCCACGACTTATCGCTCCAGAAATATCTCTTGCCCACACGGGCATTTAAAGCAAATAAGGCTCTATTTACTTAATGAACGTGCGTAAGAAATATTTATATACTCATATAAGTATACACTATGTAAATATGTAAAATCATTAGGTGTATGTAGCTCTTTGCATTTTATGTAAACATATGGAGGCTTGATAACATAATTCAACAATTTACGGGCACATGAGTTCATTTACGTACATATATATGTACGTATGCATGTGTGGAAAAATGTGGCAACACTCATAAGCACAGGGGAAATGTACGTTAATATTGCCTACCTCACAGTAGCATTGGCGCATTCCCATGGACGTGCAGTGTGGCCAAAGAATTTTGATACATTTTGATACATATTCATATTTACACGTGACTACATACATATGTATATATATAGATATGCATATACATTTATATACTTACAGTGCTAGGAAAAAGTTATTAAACATTTTTTTTTTTGGCAAATGAGCCAATTCCGTCTGTTTGTATATGCATCAACTAGTCTTTCAGTTTTTTAGATAACGCTCTAAAAGGACTTTTCTCCCCAAGAATTTGCTTATTTGTCGGAACCGCCGATAACGGACCACTATAGCATATAGTCTCCATCTACCGGGTCTATAAAAATTCAGTGCTTGTATGGGAAACTTTTTTATTTCACAAAATATCTCCATGAAATTTGGCTCGAATTACTATCCATTCAAACGGACCGATCAAAATCAAGATACAGATCTTTTTATACCCTTTTTGCTATAAGAAGTGCATCTGACTAGAGTATTACAGCTTCGGTGCAGCCGAAGTTAACTTTTTTTGTTTATGTTTTAGATAAAAATTTATATTGTTCGCTTGTTTTATATTTACTTCACCAAACGAACTTATCTGTACATACTACGAGTATATGAGCTGAAAAATCTTTGTCCTGAGAGAGATCGCATCACAAACATAAAATAGATACATTTACTTGCCTTCGAGTACTAACCATACGTGCAAAGTTTCATGCCATTTCACCCAAGAGTAAAACTTTAGCCGATTGGCTCTACATCTATGCCTTTTTGGTCTACTCTTCGTTCAACATTTGTTTCTTTAGGTTTCGTTGCCACTCCTTCTTCCTTAGCTCTATGAGGACTGTTATGGTCCATTGTCTCTTTCTTTCCACACATTCGGATCAGTGTTTTTTTGGAGTGAGCGACTCTTCTAGGAGTTTCTCTAGCTCCGCTCTTTCATTATTATAACACGGACACAAGAAGAAAATGTGCATGTGTTTTCTCGCCTATTGCTACAGAAAGAGTAATGCGAACCACCATCATGCCCATATTTGTGTAGAGACCTAGTCCGGAATTGGATTATATAAGCATCGGTTTTACCATGCTTCCGCTCCACCCATGCTTTCACATTTCTATTAAACCTATGCCTTATCCATCTACCTTTCATCGGCTCATCCCAGCGCCTCTGCCATTTATTAAAACTCGTGTGTCTTTTCTCCTTCCGCTCTTCCGTCGCTAGCCGCCTGTCTAAGCTCCTAGTTTTGTCGAAGACCCTTTTCTGAGTTCATTATTTCTAGGGGCATGATACCGCGTCATGTAATACAGTCTGGAAAGCGCAGATGGCTCTGATCGCACTTAGCCGAAGTACAGACTTGGTTACTTTGGCCAAACATGCGCATCTGCTCTGGCGAAGTGCACCATTGTTGGCCATTATCCTAGTTGGTGCCGAAATGGCTGTTGCCGCTTCCTGGCAGGTTTTATCGATTTGAATGGTAGTTAAGCCTCACGTCTAGCATCACACCAAGATATTTTAAGGACTACTGTGAGTATATGTTATACCCATCGATCTTGAGCCTGACAGACTCCAACTTTTTATACTCTGAAGAGGTAATATTATGTTTGTCACGAAGTTTGTAATACCCGAAAAGAAACGCCGGAGGCCCTATAAAATATATACAATGAAATGATCAGCGTGACGAGCTGAGTTGATTTGGCCATGTCCGTATGTCCGCCCGTCCATCTGTGTGTGTATATACGCGAACTTGTCCCTCAGTTCTAGAGATATTGATCTGAAATTTTAAACACGTCCTTTTCTCCGCAAGAAGCAGCTCATTTATCGGAACCACCGATATCGGACTATACAAGTTGCATATAGCTGTCATACAAACTGAACAATCAAAATCAAGATAAAGACGTTTTTATTCACTTTTATGATATAAACAATTCACCTGCGAAGGGAATAGCTTCGGAAGTTAACGTTTTTTCTTGTTCGCACTTGTGATAAGGACGACTTCAGTCGGCTCCATTTGTGTGACTGTCACTGTATGCTTGCGTATTTACGGAATGTCTACGATTAATTGCGTATGTATATATATGTGGATATATTTGTATGAATGTTTGAAGGTTTGGCTCTTTGCAGCTGCGCACCTTTGCGGGTCGGGCGTGTTGGGAAAAGCGAGTTTGCTTTACTTGTGTGCGTTTACATTTCTTGTGGGGCAAATAGCATTAGCATATATCAATGCCAGCGCAAATAAATCATTAATATTTTTTCTTGCTTTTTTCACATTACAGATACGACACGGCAAACTAAGGGAGTAAAGATACACAACAACAACAACAATAATTGCACATACATATTGCTGACACATTGCAATACGAAGACGAACACCAGCGTATTGCTGTGCTGTGGAATGTTGCAGCAACGACAGCCGCTCACAATATTTGCCGTTTTTTGTGGCGGCTGCTGCCGCCGCTGCCAGTAACAAACAAGGCAACGTGCAACTGACGCGAAAAGTGGCGAGGTGACTGTGTGCCGCCGACACAACTGCATATACACGAATTTGTTTTAGTTTTTTCACACGCTTTTGCGTTTATGTGTGTGTGCTGTGCGCGCTGGTAACATACTGTATTGCTTGCAGCACGAGTGTCGTTTTATCAACGTGAATAAATTTCGTAAGAAATTTTTATCAACGTGATAGCAGCAATAAAAGCGAAATAGTGTGCAGCAGCAGAAGTGGCAACTGAAAAGTGAGACAGGCAAAGAAATCGAATCGATACGTGTGTAGGCAAATACGTTGCACTAACGCAGTTGCTTTTATATTTATTTATTTTTCAAGTGTTTGTGTGTGTATGTGTGCGTGTCTGCTATATTCCCGAAATGCAATAGCTATAAACAAACCAAAATTTAGACGTAGGCAGAGAGCGAGGAAAGCGGGGGCATTTACATATTGAAAATAAATACAGTGAACCAAAAAAAAACTTGTACAGAGTAATATTTTGATTTTGAAGTGGCTTTTCTCTTAAACTATTTCAGCTTTAAGGCTGCAACCAAGAGTAACAGCATGTGAATCTTATGTATTTTTCGATTTTTCTAAAAATTTTAATACTTAATCAATTTGAACGTTAAAAATTGCAAAAAATTAAAATGTCTAATTTTTGAGCAGCCAAAAACGAAAAAAAATTGTACACTTACGTTGGCAACACTTTAAATGTTGTTATCAAGGAGCTACCATTATTTTTGTCTGTTATTATTTGCGTATGGTCAAACTGTATTATTTGGTAAGCGAATTTCTTGTGTGCGGTTGTAGTTTTTGAAAAAAAAAATGGTGAATAAAAAAATAACTCAAGATTTATAGGCTCTGGTAGTCAAATATTGACAAGAGAACAAAAATAGTCACGAAATTGGCAAAATTTAAAAAACACACAACCTATTGTTCAGTACATCATAGCTAAATTCCAAACGACTGCTGAAGTTGGAGGATTTGATGGTAGGGAAACGCCCAAAAAAAATTTCTCGCACCATTCTGAAAGTAAAGTTGCACGCAGTATCAAGGAACGCCAATAAACATGCTCTGTCGCTAACGCCAAGGAGTTGAGGAAGATGGCATTGCAAAACTCCTCCCTCAAACTGTTCAGAACTACTTCGTTTCACCCAATTTTAGAGCGCAAACAGCACGAAACAAGTCACACTTATCGAAGAGAAATATTGCGAAACGCTATTACTGTATTCCAAAGAGTTTCTCCACCGTGATGGGATGATGTTTTGAGAATCTGTAATTTTTACAGATGACTGCAAATTTAATTTATTTGAATCTGATGGTCGTCGATTTATATGGCGTAAGGAGGGGTAAGCGCTAAAAAATAAAAATTTAAATAATACTGTCGAGCATGGTGGAGGCAACATTATGGTGTGGGGCGTAAAGGGAGCAAATGCTGTCGGTAACTTTGTTTTCTCCGAAGGAATTATGTAATGAATGAACTGCTAGGAAATATTAAAATTTAATTTGGCTCCGTCAGCAGCTAAACTCTATTTAAATGGTGGCTACTGCTTTATATCAGAATAATTACCCGAAGCATTTTGCTTTTTTAGCTAAGCAATTGTTGTTCTACGACTTGAAAAAAGTGCAGACACATCCTCCCCAGAGTCCATAGTTTAAACTTAATGGGTTTAGCTATATGTAGATGAAGTTACGAGAGCGCAAAATTAATAGCTCTTCGTAAAATAAGAGCAAATATATGTACCACTTGAACTTTTACAAGATTTGATGAATTCTATCAATAAAAGATTGCAAATCAGATAAAAGCCAAAGGTGCACATACAAAGTATTACGTTTTTCTCAAATTGTCTTGTAATGTCAATTACTGCAAACTGTACAAGTTTTGTTTTTTGTCTTCGAAAACGGAGTATTTTTTGATTTTTTTAAAGCTTTTGGAAAAGTAATAAAACGGCATTTCTCACTTTTGGATGCAACTGAAAAGTTTCAATAGTTTAGCAGATATGTAAGTCACTTCAATGTCTAAACATCGCCCTGTACAAATTTTTTTAGTCACTTTATGTGAGAAGTCAGCCAGCCGAACACATATTTACAGTTGTATATTTCAGTGCCAAAAAGCGGAGTGCCATTGAGCTGAGTGTGCAGCGCGGCAAGGCGTTGATAAATAGACATGAAAATAAAAATAAAAAACAACACAAGAACAAATTCCAGCGGCAGCTGTACAGTTAAATATGCATGTGAAACATTGTAAATAAAAGACAAAAACAAAACTGAAAGCAAACTGATAAAACAAAAATATAAAAAATTTTTAAGTAAAATAAAAAGAAAAAATATAAAAAAACTTTGAAGTGTATACAAGTTGAAAGTAAACTAAAGTAAATAACAACAACAACAATTGAATATCGTATTAAAAACGAATACCGAGTGCGACGGACCTGAGTGATAAAACTCCCCTGCAAATGCATTAATAAACGACGATTTGTTTAACATTTGTAGTCGGCGATATTGGTGTGTGTGCTCAGTGCATACTTATTGACAACCGTAACGTAGACAGGACGGACGGCAGTCAGTCGGGTTGTCAGCGTGCGTTCGATAGACACTTACAAGGCGTCCGGCAGTGTCACACTCGCACACGCAGCCGAGCGAGGAATCGCAAAATCAAAGTCGAACACTCGCTTAGTTAAAGAGACCAGACAAACAGTCAGTCAAATAAATTGAGCTGCCAGTAATGCGCAAGCAATCGAGCTTTTAGTGTAGCACATACGCATTATAGTTAGACAAGCCAGACTGACTGTCAATCAGCTAGTGCGCTAGTTGAGTTTGTCACTTATTGAAGGCACGTTGCGTCGACGCTCCCAGCATTTGCAGCAAACAGCGAACAATAACGTCTAGCGCTCAGTGAATTTGTAAACAAGTAATAAATTCATATATAAACTGTCGAGACTGAGCAGTAAGTGAATGATACAACTCGCGCGCGCATCAAACTCGACGCAGCGGTAAATTGACAGTTTTACGAGTAGGTGGCTAGCACAAATAGCAGCAGTATACTTTGTTGCGAATAGATCAACAACGCATACGTGCATGCATATATTTTGAAGCGACAACGTCAAACGTACAACTGAGTTGTTTGCTCGCAAAGCGTGGCGGCCAGCCTACGAGGAGCTCGAGTGTAAAACTAAGAAACCGCCAACTCAATTCCAGCGCGTAACAAGCGACGCAACGAGTAAACGCGCAAGCATTTCGACGCACACTGCCACGCCCATATCTACGCCAACCCGCAGACTTTAATATCAACATAACAGTAGGCTGGCCTCGGCAATACCACCCGCTGTTCCAGCGCGCGTACGCTAGTTGTTAGCCGAGCGCGGCGTGGTGCGCTTTTACTGCCCCCCTCGACGCGTCGCAGCGACAGCAGCGCAGCTTAGCGAAGATCAAAAGTAATGAACAGTGAAAATTTAATGAAAAAAATATGCAAAATACTTTTAGTAAAAACAAATAAAATTGAATAAAGCTTGCGCGCTGCAAACGATGACATGCTCTCAAAATTTTACTCAACAGCAAAACAACAACACATACAAAAGCCAACTGAAACAGTATACAAGCGATACGATTGTGATCGCAGCAGAGCAAGCAACAGCCAAAACTCAGCAGCAACAACAACACAGGAGCACGCTTGTTGTTGCTTACACGCCAGAACCACATAAATTCAATGGAAAATGATGTTCACCGCCAGCATCAGCAGCAGCAGCGGCAGCAAAGGCAACAACAACAAGTGTAACAAGAAATGCATTTGCAAAAGCGCACACAGCATTGGCAGCGACGTCGTCTGCAACTGTAGTTTGCTAACAGCATCCAGCACGCCGATCAGCGCGCATGGTTCGGCCAAGCAGCGCAGCAGCAGCAGCTATAAGAAATACCGCAGAGCGAAACTGCGCAACGACGTCCAACACAGCGATTCTGGCTCTAACAACAACATCAACAACAACCATGACGCACAGCGTTTGGACCATTGCAGCAGCAGCCGAAGTAGTAATTCAATTACGTCATTATCGCCTGCGACCGCGCCCACAACAACAACAGCGTTCAGTGCAGATAGCACTAATTCATGCAGTTCCACAGTCCACCGACAACGGCGACGCCACGTTGCTTCGCTTACCGCTTGCTGCAGTTCGGCGGCATCAATCTCGTCCATTGCAGTGGCGTTGACCGCCGGTTTAAGCATTTGTCGCGCCTTCAGCTTATCGATATGCGTTCTGCTGTTGCTGCGACTTGCGCCCACTGTGCACGGCCTTGCTGTCGGTGTGGACACGGCCAATGCCAACCTCACAGATTTGGGTAGTCCCGGTGGGTATTCTACGACTATTCTACTATTTATAATGCAGTTTAAGTTATATACGCATATTTTTATTCGTAGTCCTAAGCTATTTTATAATGCAGGAAATCTTTTAAAATTTGCTGCTGCTGCCATCTATACATTTTCCTTTAATGATGGTGTAGTAGGTTTACCTTATTATGTACCATATTACTTGTATATAGTTATTAGCTCAGCACTTTACCAAACACTTTCAATTCCGAATTGTACTGGAGGTTTTGTAAATTCAGATTTTGCTTTAGTCGGAATCGAACATAAGTTGTATGTCAATTTAGTCCAGTGTAGTGAAAGTTTAGAAAAACATTATTGATTTGCTTACGGTCTGATGTGACCTAGGTGTTTAAATTCATGTTAATTTTATAGGAATAAGTACAAATTATATAAGCGCTATCATATTATTCAATTCCCTCTTTCCTAAAATTATAAGCCTTTTGGGTCCGTGTTCCATAAACTACCACCTAGAAGAAACGTCTGGGACTCTTTAATATATATTTATATGGTATATCATAAATAATCTGCGTGACGACATGAGTTGATTTGTCCATGGCCGTCTATCAATCTGCCATATCGGACCCCTGTAGTATAAAGTAAAGTTTAAGCTTTTTCGTCTTTCACGTAAGATGAGGACTGGACTCTTTATCGTGTCGAAGATGGCTTGTGTTGCTTGTTTGGTCTTTATGTACAATAATTAATCACGGAGCGTGCCTCAACATTGCCCAGATCAAACAATATACTATTTACGTCTTGAGGCACAATTTCCTGTTCAACAATTACCACTTGAATACCTGTGTATGTATGTAGATATGTGTGCATATACATGGTCTGTGCTGATGTGTGTGTCGCACTCGCATAAACGTCGACAAAGTTCAGTGGCCAATTCACTTATACGCTGCTGGGAATCATTGTCGCACCGTTTGTCATCATGTCCTTTACTCTGCACATACACACTTACATACATACGTATGTATGTACGCAAGTGCATGAACTTAAATAGTTTTTGTTGCGGCGACATTCGGTATCTTCATTTTCATTTCAATTTATTTTTCTACTTCTTTGCGTTGCTTCTATTCGCATTGATTTCATGTTGTTTTCGATTTTTTTTCTCAAGTTTTCTTTTTTCCTCAATTTTTGTTCTTTTGTTTCGTTGTACACCTGCATTTTTACCGCGCTCCTGTCACACTATCGCATTTTATACCATTTCCTTTGCCACATCAAGCACCCGCAACCGACTTCTCAGCGTTACCTCAAAGCAATAGCGCCACGACACCACCACCACCAGCAGTAGCAACCCGGTCCCATTCAGTCAAACAGTGCCTCTAAGCATCAATTAACCCAATTTTCAAATCCATTTGCACTGCTACGCCGCAAAATTGCAGTTGGCCGGAGCGTTGAAGTGGCGAAGTGACTACAGTTGCCACCCGTGCTGGCGCTCACCTTTTAGCCCTAGGATGTGCCAACAACAACAAATGCGCCGCAACGCCACTTCATTTTCTCTTCACACCATGACGGCGAAGCCCCCTCCCTGCACGACCAACCACTTCCGTCATAACCATTTATATATCTATGGTGTTTGTGTGCTTTGTAATATATTTATATATATATATTTTTATAATATATATATATATATATATTTTTATAATATATATATATATATGTATATACGTATATATTTGTATTGAGTTAGCTTACCTCAGAGCTAAACTCCCAATGGCGCTGCATGTGAGTGTGTGCAGAGTGTAGGCCCGACTGTGCCACCTCCACCCACTGGCTCTCAAGCAAAGTATATACACATATACACCCACATATATATATATATATATATACGGGTATATGATTCAAGTGCGCTGTGGCTGGTGACGTTTACCAACGGTGGCAGCAGCAGCAGCTTTGGCAGTTGTTGGCCATTTTCCGCCAATTCTCTGTACGATTTCCTCGCTTTTCTATTTTTATTCTTATATATGTATATATATTCTATATATATTTACACTACTAGTTATACGCTTTTATGTATGTGTGTTTCGCTTTATTCTACACATTGCCCCTAGCGGTATTTAAGTTTATTTGCAGAGTTGTTGTTGCTGTCGTCAACGTAGTTGATTTGGTTTGGTTCGAATTGGATTGGATCGACAGTTTAGATTGGATTGTACTGGATATGCCGCCCTACCTGCCTAATACAATTTCTTTCTTTTCTTAATTAAAATCTAATTCGTGTTACTTTGCAGCATTTATAGCATTTCAATTTCAGCAATAACAGTAAAAATTTTCGCTTTTCAGCCAATTGAACTGTCCACACTTAATTTCCTTGCAGCATTTTTAACAACACTGATATATATATGTATATAATGCTGAAAAAACTTTTACTTTTAGTTTTAATTGGCTTTGCAGAACTCGATTTTGCAAAAAGGATTTGTTGTTGCTGGAAAACACTAAAATCACTAATATTTAAAATAACTTTATTTTCAGCTTTTTGCTATAAATTATGAACAATTTTTAGCAAATTAAACTTTGTTAACGGTCTAACAATATAATACACAACAAAATGTAATAATTGTATATTTTCAGAGTTCCGCTTGTGAAATCCCGTGATATTTAACTCTTAATCGAAATTTTACTTTTCAGCTCCGTTTTGAACAAATCATTGCACATTTACATTTTGTCTTTTCCACACTTTTTGTCTTTTGCAACAGCAAGGTTTCGCATCTGCATTGGAATACTACCAAAGGCTGTTTGCCGTTCTTTACGAATTGAAAGCAATTGCTGTGATAAGCCGGCAACATGAGTTCCTGTTGCTGTCCCTGAATTAATTTTGCTGCCGAGTTGGCAGTACTCGGGCGGATAAAAATCCGGGTCCGTTCCGGTTACGTAGACCCTACGCACATGAATTCCTGAAAACCTTGGACTAACCAGTTCACCGCTATCGATTGCTGTTGCAAATACATCCACAATGCCGCTACAATAAATGTAATTGAAAATTATTATTAATTATCATAATAATGAGAATAATGTTTAATATATGTAATAAGAATAATATATATAATAAAAATAACATATGATAATGATAACTTGTATTAAATAAAAAAATATATAAAAACGGGAAATTATAGCCAAAATAGTAATAAACATATGTATGTATGTCATATATGTACATGTACATATGTAAAATTTAATTAAACCTCCATTTTAAACTTTTGCTACAAAAAAACACACACACACTGAATAATGTAATTAATATTGTAAAAGAGGTAGCTTGTCTTTTGGAAAATTATATTTTAATAAACATAATTATTTTGATGTTGCAACGAAAAGAGTGATTTCATTTATGTTAGAATTTTTCAATTTTTTTTTAATAATTTTTATTTTTGTTATGGTTAAGCGTAGCCAAAGACATTTAGATGTTACAATTTTAAACATATATTTCTTGCAGCTAAATTATTTTATTTAATAAAAGTAAAAACATAGCATCATTAAATAAGATTTCGACTTTACTTGACAGAAAACTGAAAACAAAAAAATTGTTTACAGTTAATGGCTGTTTGTGCTCCGTGCGGTAATAATCCTTGGAAATTCCTCCTAAATCAATCGGACAAAAAAATTAGTTTTATTAATAGAAAATCTTTTTAATGTTTTTTTTTTTTTAATTAATAAAACGCCGGTTTCAGGAAATTTATTACATTATTTTAAGAAAAACGCATTCAAGTTGCAGCTGCTGCCCGCTACATATCTACTCATTAACGTTCCATAGCGCCCGAGAACACTTTGCTAATTATCGAATAACTCGAGAAGTATTTGTCGGATTTGCTCCAAATTTCCAGAGCATATTTCCAAGATATTATATTTTAAGAAAATAGAAAGAAAGAAATTTTGAAAATCCTGCCACTAACCCCTTATGACCACACAATATGTTAATAATTTGTGACATTAAATATTTCAAAATAGTTTTACAAAACGCTGCTCTGCCACTAATTAGAAGATAGGTGGATTCTATATTGACAATAAGAACAATAAGTTTCGACGTAAAATAACTAAAATAATGGTGGAAAATGTGGATTGGTAGGTAAGTAATAACATTATAATCGTCCCACTTCAATATGGCATTGTTCAAAAACTAAAAAGTGCAAGACAAACAGGAAATTTGCAATTTTCTCATCCTTTGCTGCGGTATGGAAAGTAAAACCACAAATGTTGTTACTCAGAGAAAGTTTCGACAAGGTTGCACTCATATTGAGAATTTGAAATCGATTTTTCATTTTCGATTATTTAAGAGAGAATGCAACTTTTGATGGAGTCAGCATTTATCTACAAATTTTTTATTCCATTTTAACAAAATCATACATACATACATACAAATAGTATAACCTCAGTATGATAAATCATGTGTTATATTATTGCAGAGCTAAGTATAAACTTTTGTAGTCTATAGTCTGTTTCCGTTACAAACTTTAAATTTGTAAAGCTTATCTCATGGCGGATGAGTCCTTTGAAGAACTATCTGATCAAATTTGAAACAGACTGACAAACAAGTCCTTTGAAGTGCATACTTCATTAAATTATGGATAGAAAAAATTCGGGGCGTCCTAGTACTCAATAGATTATTTTATTTGTTTGGTGTTGTTGTTAGTTATTTATGATAAACCCTGTTTGAATGGCAAGGTTCAAGTTAGTTGTCATCGAAATCATCGAATAGGAGGCCCTGGAAACGGGCTGTTTCGACGGGGCCGGACAAATGTAGATGAGTGGTATTCGTTGCATATGCAAAGAGATGGTTAGAGTCATGCGGGACTCATTGCACGAAAGACATATATTTGATATGTCGAGATCGAGGTAGGAGTTTACATAAATTCACGAGGCAACTTGAGCTCCTCGTCTGCAATAAGTTTGTCTCCTAGGTCGTCATTCTCTGAGTGGGAATTGGTGAAGGTGTTAATGGATCCAATATGAACTGTGTTCAGTACTTGTACGAAGTTAGTTGCGTCCGTAGTCTGGTCGGTGTATTATTCTATGTCGTCAACGTAATCGAGGAATGATCTGTTGCTGTAAGATGCCAACAATTTGAGTATTGCTAACAACTTGAGGATTTTGTTCGGTTCTTGTGAATTTATCACCTCAAATCCAAGCGCACATGTGTTGCCAGTAAGTTGTAACCTGTCACCACGGCACTGTAGTATTTTCAAAGATGTTGCAACTTCCGATGGCGAGTCGGAAGCTTCTGCGTCATCCACCCTCTCTTAAAGTGACTTGAAACTCTCTTTCGCAGATAAAGCTGGAGGGTACGTAGTCTATTTTATCCATAAACCCCGTGCTTAACGAGCTATGGACGAAGGACCTTGTGAAATACACACCTAACGCCGCCAATCTTGTTGCTGATTTTGCTGCTGAGCTTTCCATTACAATATCGATTAGTGGTAGGTTGAGTAATATTTCTAGTGCAGCTGTTGGAGTCATTCTTAGCGCTCCCATTACACAGAGAACAGTGAGCCCGCTGGAAACTTTTAAATTTGAGAAAAAAAATTAAGTGAATGGCCAGTACTTACAAATTATATGTGTTTATGCCACTTGTGACTAAATTGACAGCAATAAAGTTAAATCACGTAGTTACCCCATCTAACTTTGTCACACGCTACCCAGGACGAAGTGTTTTTTATTAGTCCAACTAAATCCACCCGCGCATACATCGCTCGCAAATAACATTAGTAACCATTTTAAACTGTCACAATATAATATTTAAATTGCCGTCATAATTAATATTTTGCGCATTTTTTGTAGCTTCGAAAAGCAACAAAAACGCGTTACACTCTGCAGGCTTTGCACTGGCATCATTGAGCAATTTCATTTATTGCCTGCAGATTTAGCATTTCACCCGCATTCCACCCGTTGACATCGACCACTTTTTCGAATTTTCCCTGACTAATTACGCATATTTAATTGGATTATTTTATTATGTGGTTTTTAATTTCAATTTAGTGTTATTATTTAATTAAATTATATTTTAATGCAGCCATCATATTAAATAACCAAACACATACACACAAAATTTTTATATATAATATATGTATGTATATATGTTAGTTAGTAGTGACTCTGGACAACTGATGACATTCTAAATAACAAATTAAAATAATTGTTTTCAATTCTTTCGAGAGTAGCTTTAAATAAAGCTGTTCGCATAAAATATGGACCAATTGCATTCATATTCAGAGCTAAGCGACATTATGTTTAAGAAACCAACCTAAACGGTTCAGAGTCAGGTGGAATTCGAAAATCACTTATTGGAAATATTGGGGAGGAGAGAAAGGTTTCCGATGACGATTAACTTTTGACATTGTTCAGGTATACTTGAGAAAATGTTTCCACATAATTTCGTGAAGGTGTGAGTTACCTTACCTGACTGACATTTTCGGCATAAGTCTGGTAGAATAACGAAAAACATAATTTGTAAAGGATATACCAAAATGGTCACCACGGCTTCCTTTGCATATCTCCACCCGTTTACGCCAATTTCCGATGACCCGCTGCAGCATTTCGGCTATATTGCCCTGAATGTTGGCTTCGAGCGTTTGCTAGTTGATTAGGGTAAACCTTCCATTTAACATATCCCCAGAGGGAATAATCTAGAGGCATTAAATTGCATTTCTCGAAATTAACGAGTCGCCAAACTTGGCACGCAATGTATCCATGTTTAGATGTGAAACATGAGGCGGTGCACCGTCTTGTTGGAAATAAATATCGTCCGCTAGACGTCGTCAAATTCCGGAGATGAAAAGTTTTGCTTGTTGACGAAGCCAGAAATGGGTCTATTCTGAAAAGATGATTTTTTTTGATGAAAGTGAATTTGTGAATTTTTCGGGGAACGTAAATTTACGTAATAACATAATCTTGGACAACTTCCAAGTGTTGTACCAAAGTGAAACATGACAAGATGAAATGGCAAACCTTACTAAACAAATTGACAAAATTTGACACAAATCCGTAAACAAAAATCATGCCATCCTTATTAGTAGACGCTATATATACATATGTAGTATATGAGAGCTGGGTTGGTTCTTGGCAGATAGAAATGTTTTAGCCATAAAATCCAAATAAAATTAAATAATAAAAAAAAAACTCTGTCCGGCACTATGAAACCGTAGTTAAGCCAATGTTGGCTTATGGGGTCGTTGTCTGGTGGAGGACACTCGGAACCACACTAGCTAAGCAGTGAAGCGTATTTAAAGATTGGACCCCATCGGTATCTGTGGTGCACAAAGGACAGCACCAACAATGACACTCAATGCCATTCTGCCATTGTAACTGAAGGCATAGCTGGCAGATGCCTTGCGGCAAAGGCTGCTAGGGAAGCTGGGTAT